GATCCAGTGACAGGACCCAAAGAGTGTGAGTTCAAAACCCGTTTAAGACAGTGGAGAACTTGGAGAGGGGAATTAACAGGAGATAACTGACATCCATTAAACATGGCACATGGAACTAGAACAGTCTACCCCAGTGAGCAAAATAAAGGGTTCAGTTCAACATTCCAACCACTTGAAGAAGGCTGGAGCGTACAAGGCTGGAGCGTACAAAGATGAGGACAATAGTCTGAATAATGTAAATAATGGTAATATTTTGTTTGTAATAATTTTCCTTTAAAAATGTATTTCAAAACTATATTGTTGGTAATAACTCTTTCTTCAAAAATGTATTGTTGGTAATAATTTTTCCTTCGTAAAAGTATTGCTGGTAAAAAAAAAATGTTCTTGAAAATGTATTTCTGGTAATAAAAGAGTCATTGTTCGAAATAACTGCTATGAATGATAGTGGTTTATTTACAGTTGTTTCATTTAAATATGCAGTTTGCTAATTGTTGGTTATTTTTTGTATAAAATCAATAACAAAAAATTAAAAAAAAAATGTTTTTAAGTTGTTCTCAGAAAATTATATATAAACCTTGCTTAATATGCCTTTTATGTGCTGTATCCTTTCAGAACATGGGTGATCCTGATCCACAATTTCCTATCTCTAGTAGCTTTAAGCAACATTTAACTCATCACCATTCCTCTTTGCTATCTATTCACAAACTTATGTAGACTACTTAGTATTTCTTTCTAATTTCCATTTTCCAATATCTGGTGAGTGTTAAATTCTTCAAGTTCTTTTTCTTCATCATGTATCTCAAAAATTTCAACTGTTTTTTTCTTATTTTAAGTGTCTTTCTAGTTCCCATTTTCTTCAAAACTGTATAAACACATCTATATCACTTCCATTGCTCACATGTTCAGTCCATGATATTCTCAGCATTGATCTGTATATCCACATCTATATTACTTCTAGTCTTTTTCTCAACTATAAAGAAATTGTTAAGCATTCATTGCCATATAGAAGGATGGATATGACAGAGCAGTTCAGTACTCTTTTGTTTCTAGCAAAATTTTTGTATGTTTTAATACTTTGCTTAGTTTCTGGAAGGCCTCTTTCACTATTCTGATGCATCTTTGGATTTCTGTGCCACATTTTCCATTGTTACTACATTAGGCTGACAGTTAAATTTCTGTGCCTGCTTGAATCTGATATCTATTTGAAGCTCATATCTTTGGTCGCTTCTCTTGCTGATGACCATAAATATTATTTTCTTATCAGTCCTTTCTTCATACTTTATGAGATTGTTCTTGTAGTTTCCTTGAGTCTACTATCAACACAATGTCATCTGCATATCTTATATTTGCAAAGCTGCTATAAAATGTTATTTGTAATACTGTCAGATTATTTTTCACTTCAACTGTAAAAAAATAATCTGAGCAAATTTTAAAGTAAAATTTCATAAAAATACAAAGCATATCCTATAAATTACTGTTATAATTTCTTATATAACCATTTTTCCTAATCTGCAAAAATTTTTGCTGTTTGAAAGTTTTCAGTATGAGAAACAAAGCAAAGGGAAAGTTGAGTTCCTGACTCTCAGACAAATTAGTGAGTCCCTGTAGCCAAAAACAAAGATGAGAACTAAGAACTAAAAGACTTCCTGTGTATATTGCCTTGAATAAAAAATCCTGCCATGCCTATTATTATTAAAAGTGAACATGTGGTCAGAGATTCCTCCACCACTTTGAGAAATGTAGATAAAAATACAAGTATCAGAATCTATGCTAATGTTCTTTCCTTCCCTGAATGGAGTGGCCAATTTTTTGCTTAGGAGTGTAGGATTTTTTCTGAGCTTGGGGAACGAACATGCATTTTTGCTGGTGAGAATTGAAGCTGGATTTGTGACTCCATTTTGTTGTTTCTACATTGCCTGTTGGACTGTTATAATGGACTATCGTTTGAACTGTGACTTGGCTACAAGTATTGCAGACGAGAGACAGAAGAAATCTATTGCAGGTGTTTATTGCTACTATAAGTTTACAGTTTTTTTCTTTTTTTTTACTACAAGAGAATGGAAGTAAGAGATCCAGTCTAAAACACATGAAGCTCAGTAAATTAGACCAGAAATATAGGCCATATTATCAGGTAATAAAAAAAAAAAGCCACCATCGCTTTTGTGATATGGAACTAGGTAACTGGAAAAACAGATGGCAACTGTCAACAACTTAAAGATACCTGAAATCGAAGAACAAGATGTTCCCACTGTGGAGCAGAGAGAAGGAGAGAGAGGGGGCAACAAGCGATGTTATATGCATCACAGATTAAAAATGAGGAAGATGATATAGAAGGATATAAACTTTCCAGCTTACTGGTGAATTATGGTGATGAGACAAGTGAAATAGATATCCCTAGTGAAGAAACAATAGAATGGGATGATAAAGTGGATATCCCTTGAGTGGAATTATGGAAGATAAACAAGAAAAAGAATGAAAATCTAGAGTGAGAAGACTAAAAAAAGAGGTCCAGAAGATCTTGTTAGCAAATATGATGTCAGAGCAACAATAATGTTAAAAGACAGGCGATTATTTACAAGAAAAAACTTGCTATATTACAGAGAAAAACAAGCAGTAATACCCAGTGTGGGAAAAGCCCTAAATGTACTTTTTGGAATAATGTCAGAAATCAGAATCACTTTAAAATCACCTGAAAGTGATTTGGAAGAAATTAAAGGACAATCAAAAGAAATTGGCCCTGGTAGCAAGAGAAAGTGTGCTGGTTTTAAATATAACTGAAGTGGATCTAGCTAAAAATAGATAAAGGATAATTTGGTTAATTAGCACAGTCTAAAAATTCAGATGGAATCTAGGAAATGGTGGAGGCTAAATTGGGAAAATTAGGAAGTTTTGTCAAGCAGTATCTGTAACTATTGGCTGTGCCCAATTGGATATGTTGTTATTGGGACATTTGTCACCATGTATAGTGACATCTGATCATTTCAAAGACTTGTTGCTCAGAAGCAGAACTACTTCATTGGTGAAGATTATCAGTCAACTCAGTAGGGGGATTATGGCATTACTACACAACACTAGACGGTGCAACCATAATCAACAAGGATAAATTAATGGTATTAGTGCCTTTACCATTAATGGAGAAGGAAAGCACTTTTCAGGTATTTCAAGTGGTAAAATTGTCTATCCCGTACCCAGGAACAAATAAAGAAAATAGTGTAATTGCTAAGTTGAAACTGAAAACACAGCTTTTAATAAGGCTCTAATGAGATTTATGATATTAATCCTAGAGGCAGTCACTGAGTTCAGAAAGAGTACATTGCAAGCATGTTCACCAAAAGTCTGATTTACATAACTAAATGATGTTTAATGAGATATGGATACAGTCAGATTAGAATGCCAGATAGAAGGGTACTTCCACAATCTTGTCTAATGGAGTCTTGGTAACAGCCCTAGAAAGAAAGATGTAATTATCTAAGATATGTAGAGGAAAGAAAACAGTATCAATAAGAGTAGAACCACTCTTGACAATTTGTCTATGGAATGTTTGTCCTTTGCAGAAAAAAATACAAAATAAAAGCTTCCTACTTGTCATTTGCAGACATATCAACTAGCAAATGGATGGGTCTATGAAGCTCCTTAATTAAAGAATTCTGCAATATAAAAGCATATAAGATACTGGAATTGATGGACACAGTGGTGAAAATTAATCCAAAACCATAAATGGATAAGTTAAAACTGATATGAAAGGAAAGGGAGAGGAAGTGGGAGCATGATCATCTCTGTCTGGAACAATTATAGTAATAGTTGTATAATAATCTATAGTTTATGAAAAAGAGAATTAAACCAAATGATGATTTGACAAAGTTATCCCCCAAAAGGGAGATACATGAATTATGTACAGTAGAATTTAAACTTTCAAGCAAAAGTTGACAGTCAATAGCATACAGCATGGTTGAAGGAAAATACATGCATGTATGTTTCATGGACTCAAAAAAAAAGAATGGTAAGAAAAGTAAATAGTAAGCATGAACCACACCACATGAATGAATTTTGTGGAAATTGAATTACTGCATGCAGATTTGAGAACATTAAACTGAAGTGTACTACTTATAGAGAAGTGATTGGAAGAGGAAAATAACTGTTGTTCACAGTTGTCAGTTGCACAAATCTTTGCTGTTTGAAGACGTGTACCTTGTCTCAAAGTCTTCAATGTGGAAAACCAAGGAAAGAGATTGATTTGGTTTTTTACAGCTTATAAATGCTTTGTGTTTATTCAAAGCCAAAACATATTTTGGATTGTAGGAGGTTGCTTACAATACCCGATGTTCTCAAGTTCTTATCTAAGTACAACGCTCCTTAACTTCAGTGACTGAACAAAAACCAGCATGATTTGAGCATAGACCAAAGGAAAAGGATAGTTGAGTTTCTGCAACCAGACAAAAATGTAAAAATAAGAACTAAAAGCCTTCCACCAAAATAGTGTATATCATCATCACAAATTAAAAAGCTAGTAAGTAGCTTTTTAATTTGTGATGATGATATACTGTTATTAAAAGTAAACACAATCAGAGATTCCCTCCAAGAAATATAGATAGAAATATTGAGTATGATATTTCTTTTGTCTTCTGTTATTAAAATAACTTGTGAAAAACACATTGGTGTTTATCTATATTTATGACAAAGATTTTCTGCAAAGAAATCTCTTTCAGCTTCCTCCAGTCTGTCAGATTGAATTTAAAATACCATGGACTCATGGTAGCTTCTAATTGCTTTCAGATAAACACTATGAACTTTTGAATGCCCACTAAATGATATGACTTGTAAAATCTTTCAACATCCCTCCAACAAGTCAGGTGGGTTATATTTAAAAGATACTAAAACTTTACCCACCTAAAAGATATATTTTAATATTTCTGTAATTACAAGTGACAAAATGGAATAAAAAGCTGGTAAAATAATCAATTTTATTAACAAAATAGGTACAAATTTTTAATTTACTTATTTCATGGAAATTCTTCTGGAAATTGGTTACATTTTTTTTCTCTGTTTTGGGATGACACCCATCGTGATACTATCATTTCCTAGAAAAAGAAAATCAGATAAAATAAATGTATAAGAACAGAAATATGAAAAAACTTTTAGTAATCATTACAATTAATATTAGTTATTTGTTATTGTTTTATAAAAAAGAAATTACAGATTTAATACTGAAGAAATTTAATAGCAAAGTATTCTTTTCACTAAAGATATAAACTTTGTATTCAAATATGTGCTTACACAATGGTTTTAATTTGGTAGAATAGTATTCTTTAAAATACTTAAAGAATACTATTTGGTTATCAATACAGATAAATTTAAAAGCAATAAAAATGAATAACAATGAAGAATTTCAGTCTAAAATCTTAAGTTTGTATAAATTATTCATCAGTACAAAAAGAAACATCTTCATTTCTATGATGCTTTAAAAATATTCATCCTAAATTTTTCTTTCATTAAGAAAAGAAAAAATGATATAACATACTTGAACAGAAAAAGAAGAGATACATTTTGGAGAGAGAAGATCTTCAGTTAGGGCTGTTGGCCTTATCACATAACAAAACAATAATTGCTGCAAATAAGTGAAAATAGATCATAAAACAGTAAAAGCAGATTCAAAAAGATTTTTAGATTTCAAGATTTATTTATTGCATTAAAGTACTGGTTAAAATAAAATTTGGTACTTTGATCTCTTCTTACCTCTACCTTTGAAAGCAAATGGTAAATGTACTTTTGTAGAGTATTTACATATATGTTACTTGTATGATTTAAACATGAATTAAAAAAATTAAGACATGATAATAATTGAATATTTTGTATGAATATTGGTATATTTTTTATATATTACTATTATGAGAAGTAATATTCAGCAGATGTGTTATGAATTTTTGAACATATCTAACAAAGGGGAAAAATAGGTATAGTGACTAATCAAATAGTTATTACAGAATGGAATAGAAGTCATAAACAACCTTCTTCATTATTTGAAGACAAGATGTCAAAAGTAGTTTTATAAAAAAAAAGAGTTGAAATAGCAAATATTTATGTTAATAAAAAATGATGAGAGTACATCAATATTTTTGTCCAATCAAAATACTATAGAAAAACATTTACCAGAATTATCTGGAGTCTGACAACCTCTTTAAACCCATAAATAGAAAGTTACATCAGAGCTCATCAGTAATATCAATGAACCCAATTATCAGTAGAAATAAACAACATACATAATTCAAATGAAACCAGATTGATTATAGAGTCAGAAGGAAAATCTAAAGTATTAGATAGGGTAGTTGGTGAAAACAAGAAATGACTAATCATTAATAATAAAAAGATGGTGAAATGGTTGTGACCAAAAGTGACAGCCCAAGGTGGGAGTCAAAAATTGGGGACATCAAAATCAAGCATGTGCAGAAATGTATCTATCTAAAAAGTGTAGTAACAATGGGAAGTGTAAAACAGAAATGTGAAGGCACATAGTAATAGCAAAAGATGTTTTCAGAATCTAAGCATAGTATTAAAGGACTGAAAAACTGACATAAAAAAGAATGCTAGACTGCTATGTAAACAGTGAAACAACAGTGAAAGCTGAATATTTTCCTCACAAATGAAAACTTGAAACAACTGAAATATAGTTTATATGGTGTTATTAACAAATGTTAAGGATATAATGAACAGAGCATGTGATAATATGCATGTTTTAAGGAAAATATGAACTGCAAGGAAACTGTTTTTAATCATTAAAAAGAGACAGTTGGGATTTTGGGACATCAAAGGCAAGGAAAGTAGCAGCTAGTATACTTGACAAGTCTAAATCTATAAAGAGAAGAATGAGCACTGTTATAAAATAAAATAAGACATATCTCGGCTGATTTACAGGCAATTAAACTAACATACTCAAGAGCGAGAGCCGGATGTGAACGAGACAAGGCCCTGTCACAAAATGACCATTATCTTCGTTTACGCATGTTCCCGACGTACGAGTTCCGGTCGAAAAATAAAATAGTATTTTAAAGTATTTCTATTTTTCGACCAATAAAAATGCTTCCCTCCTAATTATACTCGCGTCGTTTTTCGAGCCTGTTAAGCCATAAAAAACGCCATAAAAGGGGTCACATGGAAGTACAACCAGCAGTCAACAGGAGGCCAGGGAAGAGACCTGTCACAGTCAGGATGAGCGGTCAGCAGCAGTCAGCAGGGGGAGCGCCAGCGTCAACCAGTGTAAACTACTATGAGAGATCAACTCAGATTCGAAGCCGGCTTATGAACTTTACCACAAGGTAGCTGTCCCAAACCCACACGTTCCTGTTGAAATAAATCACGTAAATCTATTTCTACTGTTGTCGTATTTCTTTCTTGCAACCATATGCTTGTCTATAACAGCACCACAAGAACAAAGAGTAGATATAAAGGAGAAATTATTGCTGAAAGCAAGCTGTGGAAAGTCATGATCACTCATCATATCTTGAAAAGACAGGAGAGAGAGAAAGATTTTTTCAGATTACTTGACAAGGGGAACAATATTTGTATGCAACTGGAATTGACAAATAACAGAAGAAAAGCAGTTATTTTTTTCACAAGAACAAGTATCAGTATTTTTTTTCTGATGTCCCGTGAATGATCTCGAAGAATAACCTTTTGTAACATTTTTTGCTTCTTAGTAACTCTGGCCATCCTGTGAAACTCTTATCTAATTTTATTTCAGATTAGACACTTTGAGATGAAATGCTAAGCAGACAAGAATGAGCATGTTTCTCTTGCTTTTAATCAAGGTCAAAAAGATGCTTGTGACATTTGTGCTGTGTACATAGATGACTTCATTACTGACAGAATGGCACAGAAATGGTTTTCCCATTTCAGGAAGGGGAAGTTAAAACTCACAATCTCCCCATTCTGGCCAACCTGTTCAGTTTGAGGAGTACCAATTGCGCTGATTAAAGAACTGCACCAGACCACTAGGGAATTGGCTCAGAAGATGGCAAGCTACTGTTGCGCATCATCTTCACTTAATGTGTAAGGTCCAGAAACATGACGCATAGGTGCCATACGCATTGACTGAGAGAAAGAAATGCCAGTGCTCCTCCATTGCCACCAGTTTACTTGCTCAACACCAGGCTACTTGTGGTTACAAAGAGCGAGCTCATTTGGAAAATTCTGCCATATTCAATATATTATCCTAATTTAATCTCTATCACCATTTTGTGGCTGCTTTCTAACAATTTGAGGAGTGTTTCATTCAACAACATGGAGCTTAAAATGCGGCTTGATGAATTTTTCAAGTCAAAAACTAATGATTTCTATCATTGAACAGTTAGTGGAGTGTTGGCAGAAAGTTGTAAACAATGAAGGTGAATAAATTGTTGAATGATTCATTATTCATTTAATAAATAAGTATTAAAATTATAAAAAAATGAACAAATTTATGTAACAATAGATTTTACTAGCAAGATTAAACTGTTATTGCTGCACTGTTCTTTAGACTACCTACAAGGCAAAACTATTTTTTATGGCCAAGCACATTGGTCAAGCTCTAGACACAATTTAAAACTCAAAAAGTCAAGGCAAAACAGGGCAAAAAATAATCAGCAGTCTCCTATTGGGAATCTCCTTCATTATAAAGCAATAATCCCAAAATGTCATCCAGTAAAGGAGAGTAAAGTATTGGTTTAGATGCTCAAGCTGATGAGTACTGAACAATGATCCACATCAGTCTTTGTTGCTGATAGAAAAAAGATGCCATAATTAAAAGACGGTGTTTGGTACTAAACCTTAACAAGTTTTAAGGAAAATGGATTTTGCTGTCTTGACATATTGGTGTCTTTGGTTAGGGCAACACAAGATTATAATGCAAAGTACCTTGTTATAGGTTGTGGAAGTACTTTGCTGATTATTTCTTGCAGTTTGGAAATATCATAAACACAGAATGGATAGAGAATTATAGGTGGTAGAAAAGGGTGAAACAAAGGTCCAAACTGAAGCACTTCAGTCATCAAACGTACCCAAGACAATCATTGGTTGAATTTTTTATCTGAAATTTTAGTTGTATAAGGTTTTATTTATATGAATAAAGTGCATTGAAGAACATTATGTTGAAATACAAATATGTCATGCAAAGTAAATGCTTTTTTCCATCATTAAGCAATTGACTCATTGATGTATGTATGTACAATGATTTATGGAATAGCAGTTTTCTGTAACTACTTATTCACAAACTAAAATAACATGGAAGAAATATTTATTTGCACTTTACACTTGTTTAAAATGTGTCCTACTAATGCAGGTGACTGTTAAACAAGTGTATTTGAATTTTGTGTTGTCAAGTGTTGCTATGACTACAGCTAAATGAATTTGATTGAAACAACTATTGCAGTTGAGGGGGTCACCATAGACAGTGGAAGGAATTATGAATAATGTGTTATTAAATGATTACATTATGTTCCTTCCAAAATATATTTCATGCCAGGGTATAATATTTATACATTATTTTTGGCAAGTTTACAATGAGAACTACTGATTAAGATTAATATAGTTTACTTATGATCATTAAACAGAAATATTCATAATATTATGCACATTCTCACACAAGCAATAATTTTAAGTGAACAGAGAATATCAGCCTGCTTGTCTAATATTTTATGCTTGCAAATTTAACATCATTTTGCATACAAGACTTTCAATTTTGACAGCAAAAGGAGACATTAAGAAATATCAATAAAATGTGCTGTTTTATATCAACTTTTTAACTCATTAACCCTAAAATAAATGTTTTAGGTGAAAATAATAGAAAAAAAGTAATAAGAATTATTGTTAAAAAATATTACACCAGCAAAGCTATGATATATTCAGTTGTTGTTTCAAGTTTTTCTTAAGACATGATAATCAACAAACCACATTGTTTTTAAAACATGATTATTTGTAATCTCATTTACAAAGAAAATGAAAATATTGAAATTGGGTAAATAAATATAATGATCAATAACTTACTTTAGTAACATGTTCATTCATTCTGTCAAGGCCAGACAAAGTAACCCAGTCACTTTTAGCCATTAAATGGTAAGGATCTTCATTCAAAAAGTTGCTTTCAACCATTTGAACATTTACAGAGTATGTTGCATGATAGAAGGAATTGCCTTCTTTGTAAAGAACTGAAATTATTTAATAAAAAAAATTAAGTTGATTTTTTTAAAACTTTCATTTGTTATAGTTTTGCCTACTGAACTATGATTATTTGACAGTAGCAGTCAATTGAAAAGTGAAATGTTAAAATTCAGTTGTTTTTAAATTATTTCAATATTTCATACTATTTTAACCATTAATCAATTGTCAACATAGTTATAAAATAATACAGGAAATTTAATCAGTTTTAAGAGCAATCTTTCATTCAAAAATACTAATGAATAGACTTTAAAAAATTAAAAATAAATTTCCAGCCTAGATTATTTTGTAACAATCAGAGTAGTAGTAATAGTAGTAATACTAATCCTATTGGTAGAGGAATATCAAATTTGTTTACAATAACAGAAATTTCTAAAAATACCTTTACTTTGTACTTTTTTTATACACTTTTGTTTAATTGTAGATATTTATTACATTTACAATTAACAAAATACTTCAATAATAAATACTTCAGTAATAAATTTTAACAAAATACTTTAATAATAAAGTAAACTTACTTAAGTCAGTTCCAAACTTTAACCCAGGCTTAGGTACCCATCCACAACTTCTATAATAATGATAAGCAATGTATATAGGTACAAATTTTTTTCTTCTCTGACAAAAAGTTTTCCACATTTCTTCAAGATTCATTGCTTTCTGAAAATTCAAAACACATTATTAATTATATAACATACAAGTCATAAATATAAAACAGCTGAATAAAATATATCAATTAAAATATGCCAATAACACCCTCTATGACAGTGCTTTTCAGACTTGCTGTGACCTTGCAACTTTTTTTTTAAAAGTACATGACTTCCTAATCAAAAGTTAATGTGTTTTGTTGATATAAGAAAACAAATTTCATGCTTTCATCTTAAAAAATGCGGTGAATGAGACCCACAGATTTAAAGCCCCCAAAATTTTTATTTCTCCAAAATATACAACATTGTATCACCAAAAGTTTTTGATGATATTAGAACAATCTCATCAAAATTTATCTTACCTGGTATTTTTGGCAAAATATAATTCACATATTTTCATGTTCAGCAGGGGACAGTTTCTTTGATAATAACTGAACTTCCTTTTCATCATTCCAATGCAAACAATCGCTTTTGAAGATCCCTTCCTAGCTTCTATAATAAACTGGAAAAGTTATTCCTTCATCTGGATTGGACATAAATTTGCTGATTGAATTAGCAACAGCATCTGGAGTGAATGAATGTGAAGTTTTTTCTTCTATTGTAAACAAACTACCAAAGTAAACAACTCAAAAAACTTCTGTTGTTGCAGTTGTAATTGCTGTTCATATTGTTGTTTTTGTTGCTGCAATTGTTGCTGTTGTTCTTGTTTTGTAACACCAACATTTGAACCATGACAGCTTTTAAATCTTCCATTCCGCTGTACTCTGCTGAATATTTTGCAGATTAATTTTTCATGGAAATTGAACAAATCCTTGTGTGTAATGGAGAGAGTTTAGGAAACACACACATGTATATATTTTTTTTTTTTTTATTGAAATTGAAGTAGATTTGAACAGCAAAATTAGATCAGAACAATTTTGTTTACTGATGGAAATCTGATGTAGCCCATTTGGAATTGGGTCGTGAAAAAGACAATGGAAATGATCGAAATAAATTTTATCAGTTAAAATTTGAAATAGAGCTTACTAAGGCTATGAGAACTTAGAAATTCACATGATTTTGTGTTGAAAACAGCACTCGTGATAATCGCGTGTGGGCCAAGGGTTGATTTATGATCAACCAGATTTATCTATATAAACGCGTAGTTATGCTGAAAAAGAGGCAGATGGTCGAGCAAGATGGGAGAGGCCGCAGTCGGCATGTCGTCGTCACTGCGTGCTGTCACGTGCATGGGCACCTGTCGTTATGGGTCGCAGTGCTACAATAATCAAAGAGTGGTTGGCTCGTCTGCTGTCGAAAGCAGTTGAGCTGGGTGGAGAGAGGTTGGAGATTGAAAGTGACGTCAGAGATTGGAACCAAATGCCTGCTAACATATGTTGTTGATATAAAAGTATGAAGAAGCGAATTACTCTTCCAACAATCTAAGACTGCTATTACTACTATTATTACTACCACTGGAAATGGAAATGTCGCACAAGCTACAATAATCAGAGTGGTTGGCTCGTCTGCCGTTGAAAGCAGTCGAGCTGGGTGGAAACAGAAACGTCGACCAAGCTACAATAACCAAAAGTTAGTTTTTGCTTTTCTGTCTTCGAGTGCAGTTGAGCTGGGAGGAGAGATAACGGAGATTGAAAGTGACATCAGAGATTGGATCAAAACCCCCACTAACATATACTGTTCTGCTACCACGAAGATTACTACTACTGTTACTACTGCCGAGGAGGAATGCAACTATAAACATTAAGCCACGCACAGAAATCTTTATCTCTCCATCGCAAGAGTCGCATATAGTTCTGAGACGATCTAACAACAAGTTAATCAAAACCCACTTTGTCTAGAATCCAGTGTATGAGTTTTTCTTTTTCTTTTTACGTCAAATAATTTTCTTTTATGTAACCCGTTTCTTTTCTATACTATTCTTTTCTGCGATATAAAAGACATTAACAATTCAACCATTGAATAGTTGTTTGTCTGGCTTTCTGCAGATATATTTTTTTTTGGTGCATTCTAAATTTCTTAGCACAGACTCTCCAGCTGTGTCTACATCTTCAGTCGACCGTGAATAAATGAATATCACTTCTGCTTTCTGGATCAAACTAAACACAACGTGGGCAGGAAGCAGGATTAAATCAGTGGACCTGTTGAATGATCTACGGATGCTCAGGGGACCTACGGTCACTCCCTCAAGTTCGGTTAAGACAGAGTAGACACCTCAACCCAGAGAGTAAGACGTCGGAGGTTGAGGGGCTGGGGCGAAAATGTTAGACGTGTAAATTCAAGGAATCCTAGTCACCATTTTTGTGATGTCAACGAACAGTGGTTGTCACTTTTGTAATTGTCAACAAATACTCATTGCACTTTCATTCATTGTAATTGCAGATACAACTATAATGCCGTAGAACAATACTGGTGTCAGACACCTTCAAATAACACTCACATTAATAGTACTTGCTTGAATAGCAACCACCAAATAGTAATTCGTATAGTGATCAGTATAGAGAAATAGTATGGGAATAGTATAGAGAATAGTGATTCATATAGTAATAGAGGATAATGCAGAAATAGTGATCTGTATAGTAATAGAGGATAGAATAGAAATAGTGATCACTTAAACACCATGCTAATTCCCATATATACATTTCCTTTGCCATCACGTAATCTACTTATTCCAAATGGGATCTCCTGTGTTTGCTCACTGGCAATCTATGTTCAAACTCCAGTGTTGGCAACAACAGTTTATTCCTATATATAACAAGAATAAAGGTAGATAAATTTTTAATGTTCACTTTATCAGCTAATTTTTTCATGTGTGAAGTAGGTGTCCTGTAAAACATGACCCTTATTGAAAAAACTGAAATCAATGACAATCTGTTCAGAGAATTCATTATGTATTCTCTTAGATTTTGTCAGAGACAGTCAGGGAATGAGAATTGAACAGTTTTCATCCACATTGTCATTAAGACTATTTGATATCATAATGGGTTCATTCTAGTTCCTGTGGTAATGACAAGGGAAACTTGAAGCTGGATGATAAAGACGTTGGGGTGTTAGAAATCTTGATGTTTGGCATGGGAAGTCAAAGCTGGCCTGTCGGTGGTGGGTTCCTTCTGTGAAGAGTTGGGCAAGATTAGTGAAGCTTGGGTGAGGCCACAATTCTGATGAGAGAAGCAATTACGGTGGTGATGGTAAACTTATGTTATCTTGCCGATTGATGGCCTTTCGGTCTGCAACTGTGTTGGTCATTACAAGGGTTTTCTTTTAAGTAAATCTTGTGGTTCACAGGGTCATCGTTATTCTGGTGGGAACATTCGTGATTGGCTATTGTATTTTATTGCAGTGATTCGTTTTGTGAATGCCTCGGAGCAAATGACTTTTTTTATTTTGTGTTTTGTTTTCTTAGCATTCACATCCGGCTGACACATGTAAAGTGAATCAGAAAATTTTTTAAAATGATGAAGGAAGAGGAAAAAAAAATGACAAAAATTAAAAATTTTCTTTTTTTTTTTTAATAGTTATAAGTGATTATGAATAGGATCAATATTGATATCTAACCCTGTCCTATGTTCAAGTGGTTAAGTGGATCAAAGATCCAAATATTTTGAGGGGAAAACATCAGAAGTTCAAGCACAGATAGAGACTTTGAAAAGTGAACTGGGATCTCCCAACTATCACAAAGTCAATTTAGCATACAACTATTCAGATGGGGTAGTATCAGAGTAATAATATTGGATTATATTTAGACAATTATCCTGAATCTGAAGTCTAGGTATTAGCAAGTCACCCTAGACAAGGTTGATCAAGAAAAGGGTGTCTTCGTACATCATATGGGGCTGTATCAATTTAGGATTATGCACTTTGGGCTGGTCGACACATTAGCATTTTCTGACAGCTCATGTAATAAGGTTGTGGAGACTAGAATAATAATCTATGGCCTACAGACAATATAATAGTTTTCTCAAGTAGCACAAGTGAAAATTTTCAACATTTGCAAACAGTATTTGTTCAATTAAGAAAGCAAAGGTTGAAGTTTAAACTAAATAATAATTTATGAAAATGGAGACAAGATATTTGGGATTTTTGCTTTATCAATGAAAAAGTAGTAAGACCAGATACAGATAAGATCAAAGTAACCAGACCAGAAGTGGAGGCCCTACTACAGGATAGTCAATCAAACCAGTCCTGTTATCTTTATATGGCACCAGCTAGAAAGGAAAACTGAGAAGGCACATGCAAATTATTTGAAGCTAACTACAAAAATGGGATACCCTGGAGGTTAAAATCAGGAAGGTAACACTAGTTCAACCACCTGTGAGATTAGAACCTGATTCTGCAGACTGATTTAAAGATGGTTCTGATTTATGACTGCAAGGTGCCCAGTCTCATGATGCTTTCTTTGCTTTACTCTTTTTCAGTTAAAATCTCCTAATGGTGTGTATGTGTGTTGTGGTGGTGGTGGGGGTAGCATTGATATTATTAGTGCATTTTTTCACTCTTGTCAAACTATTTATTTTTTGGAATGTGGGCTTTGCCTTTCTTCATTGATTTTGTGTATTTAAAAACTTGCAACACTCCTAAATACTATCTGTGAAACATAAGAGTGTCACTTTGGTTGAAAAGTGCTGGTCTAGGATAATTAAATCCTTCTTTATGTAATTATCCATTATAAAGCTTCATGATTTTAAAATATATGATTTAAAGTTGACACATTTCAAGCAATAAAAACAAATATATCACTAGAAAAAGACTGTTCTAAATGAATGAATTGGAGATTTTTTTCTCTCTTTCCATATGCCATATATCTATAACTACCAAGTGAATACAGTAATAAAAGAATGAGATATCTGCTGAATGGTATACTTACACCTAAACTGTCTTCTACCAGCAAGTAACCAAGGCCATAGGACAAAAAAAATGCCTGAAAGAAAAAAAATAACAATCTTATGCAAAAATACATTTAAAAATTATTGTATAGTTCCACTTTTCTGTCACTTAGGATAGCCATTACATCATGACAATATCTCATAAATAATGGACATGTTTTGATTGTGTGGAAAGACAAAAGAACATATCAGAGATGTTACTTGGTTTCAGTGAGAAAATGAAAGGAAGAAAGAAAGAAGTAATCAATTTCAAATCTTTTCATTTGTAGCTCCTTACTTCTTTAAATAACAACCAGCATTCATATTTATGATTGTTATTGCAATAAAATTGTTAAGCTCAGATATTTAATGATGCAATAGATTTATCAGAAAATTCAAATAGTAAAACTGAAATTTTCATGGTTACTTCTAGTAAAGAGTAAATGCAAATTAGTAACAACTGAATATAGAAAACTTAAATAAAAAAATTATGTAGCAAATGAATTTATAATATACACAGCTTGTGGTGACAGAGAACTTTACAATATTTTAAAAATTAGTTTATGTTATATAATAAGAATCTTAAAATTATACTATTTCAAACAATCCAGTTTTTGGACTTAAATACAAAATTAATGATTTTAGTTAAAATTAATTTAATTAATTCCTTAATTAATATTCTTGTTTTTAATGCAAGCAATTCAGAACCTCAAGAATCTTTTAGCATGTAGAGGAAAACTTCAAAAATCTATATAAATTAAAATTTGATAAAATGAACAATTTCGATTCAAATGATACCAAACACATGAGGATGTATTATGTTAATTAATAAGTTTGAGATAAAATTAAACCTCTTTATTGAAAATTATTAATAAGATATGACATACTTAGTGAAGAGATACTAATTTAAAATCAAATTTAAGTAGCTTATAATTTACAGAAAAATAAAAGTGACACAGCATTTAAAACATATATCAAACTAATCTGCAAAGTTTCAGCTTTTAAGCATGCATAGTTATTTAGTTATTAGAAATTTTATGCTCGTCAAGTAACACACATTGAAAGTGAGTTGAGCATTTCTCTGTTAAATATGCATGCATATTGATGTGTCTACTATTATGTCGGGGCACTAGGTATCCATAAAAGGAAAACATATCAAGTAGTAAGTTGGAGTAACAATCCAAGTGAAAGTAGTAAGAGGAGTTATTAAGAAGTCTTCCAATGTATAGTCTTTTTCCTGTATTATGTAAATTTTCTTCAAACTAGAGTGAAAAAAAAAAAAAACAAAAACAATTTTTGTAAAACAACAATTTCTGCAATATAAAAATTTGAGATTTACACTTTCAACTTTTCCTTCTAGAGTTGAATATTTTTACAAGGTTAACTTTTCACACACTCAGTTTTCTACAAGTAAAATAAACCGATTTTTAATCTTAATATTTTCTCATACAAGAAATGTTTTAATTTGGAATAAAAATTATCTGAAAGTTTTAATGGGCAAATTGTACACAAAACTAAAGAAAAAAACATTTTTGGTAGGACATTTTAAGGATATATTTGAGACAGAATGATTTTTTTTTTTATTTCTAACCTTTCATTGTCCAAACTTCTGACACCAAAGTTGTTAACTCATTACTGAAAAGAACTTACAAAGGGAGAAACAGGAGTGGGTGGGTCTTCAGTTTAAAAAAGAAAAATATATTTCCATTATAATTCCATCATTTTAGCTACACTGATATTATGTTCATTCACAAACAAAAAAGTTTTCCTTTACAAATATCTGACACTTTTGTAATTTCTTCTATACTAACTTAAATTAAATATTTGAAAGGAATTTTTCATTGAAAAATTATTAGAATTGCAAAGAAACTGAAATATTATATGAGAATTATTTTGATGAATTTAAAAAAAAAAAAATACCTATAAATGGTCTGAGAACTTTTGATTTCAATTTCATTGCTTACATTTGCATAAGAGTTATAATTATAATAAAATATTAAAAACACATTTGATGTAAATTGTGATTGCATTGCTAGTATAATTATATTAAAGAGTGAGGAAAAGAAAGTTTTTAGATACATACTTAAACATATGCTTTCCTAAAATAAGATTACTCATACTTCAAATTCCCTCATTGGAAGTTCATTTTTTTCCTGAAAGTTCTGTTGATCCTGTCAGTGACATTAAATACAAGTTTAATATTTTAACATGTTTATATCCAATACAGATTTGTAATTGTTCACTTATATTCTATATTCCAGTAGTAAAAAGATGTCAAGATCAGTCTTCTACCATGAGCTCCATTTTAGTTTTCATTTTTTTCTTTTTGTATTGCCATTGTTTATAGAAATATTTTTACTTGTTGATCATACAGTTAACTTTAAGTTTACTTAAGTTATACAACTAAATTACGAAATGTTAGCCAAGTCAAAAAAGAAGTTTATTTCCAAATCTTGAAAGATTACCATGACTAAAAAGAAGAAAAGGTAGAATTTGCTCTTATTTAAAAATCAAAGAAAATGTTTAGGAACTGTACAGAAGATGAGAAACATGGGAGTCAGTAGCATAAATATTTTAAAAATACATTTTCTTCAATAGATCTTTCAATAAATTCTAATCTTTTTATATTCCTATAGAAATATGATAAAAAGATTAAAATTTATCAGCAAAAATTTATAAAGTTTTCTGATTTTGTTATTAATATACATTTTCATTGCTTATTTCATGCATGATATAGAGTAATCAATGAAAATCTCATTTTATTAAAAATTCATTAAAAATATTGTCAGAAAATCCTGTTACATATTCTAAGTAAATTTTATATAAAATTTTAACACTTGTCAAATGTTTTTGCTTTTAATGAATTTTTCATTATTTTCCTATTTGGGCCACTTGAGTGATAAAATTAAGATTACTTGATCAAAAATAAAAATCATGAACAAAATGCATGCAATAGTTTATATATCTAGAAATTTATAGTTTTAAAAAAAAGGACAAGAGTTTCAATAATTCATAAAGTTCAAAGGCTAATAATGACAAGTGAAAACCACCATGCAAATTTCATAGCAGATATTCAAATAATTTGAAAAATATTCCAAAATGATTAAAATTATATTGCATATTATTTTTAAATAAATAAATAATGCTCTTGTACTTGTCCATCAATATTTTCCTTTTTTCTTACAATGAGTAAAATTAGTACTTGATTCATTATTGTAAAAAAAATAAAAGGGAGAAAATTTATTCTTACCTCTTCATATGTCAACAGCAAATGTTCATTTATTGGGTAAGGATCTCTTTTCAATGCAGGCAACCATTGAACTTGATTTGGAAAACACTGACTTTCTGGCTCTTTGCCATTTACAACAAATAAATTTGGTTTTGAGTCATCAAATTTGGACAAGTGTTTCTTGGTAAAATTCTTTTCCTGAAGTTGAATTTTAGTGTAAGAAGATTTGTATTTAAAATAAATTAAATATATACATATAAGTGCCTTATGCACAATTATATTTAATGTTTGATAATTTTAATAAAAATTATCACACTAAATATAATCTAAGAAATAGTGAATGAATAAAAAAAATTTCACTTTAGTTAGCCCAATTTTTTTTTTAACTCTTCAGATATGAAAGCAAACAAGTATGATTCACTGGCTATTAAGTTGTCTTACAATACTGATCATTGAAGATGAGCAGAGTAATTATCATGAAAATCAATTTCAAATTACTTGATTTTCATCTTAACAAAAGTCAAATCTTAGGCAGCATGATTATTTTACCTTTGATCCTTTACATGGTCAGCGTATGTTAACCCCGAAACCCCTGACCCTGTGGTGCATTTTTTTGGGCTTCATTGTGGCCTCTGTCATTTTTTCCCAGCACAGTTTTAAGGACATCCAACATTTTTTTAAATTATTTTTAAATTTATGTTACATTGTCAGTCATCCACTAATAATATACATCATGTATCTGCATGGCCAGTGTGGTACATACTATGCAAAAACCCCAACAAGGTTGAAGCCCCAAAAAGGCTAGTTTCATTCACTTATTTTTGCTTTTTGTAAGTTTTCCTTTTCTTCTACCTAAGTTATATTGTCAGTCATCAAATTGACAGGGCTGGTGCTTACTGACCCAAAACTCTCAACTGCATGGGGGTCCTATGCCTACAGTGGAGAGGGATTGTGTGGTTGTGTGTGTGTAAGTAGTAAGTGCTAATTTCAGTAGTGCTTATTTTTTTTAAGTTGTAATTTTCTTTCTAGACAGTTCTTTTAAATCAAAAGGGTAATATATCTTGGTAAAATCATTTTTATTCTGAGATCCTCCACTAAGGAGGATCTCTGATTTTTTTTTTTTTTACTAAATAGTAATACTAACAACAAACCATATTAATTAAAATAAAACGTCTAGTCCCTATGTTTTACATTGCTAGAAAGATAAAACCAAAAAAATGATGGCTTAGAAAATAAAAATGTTTAAAGATTTCAACACATGGAAAATTTTCCTGAAAACTGAAATACTATTTTTAAAATGTTTGTGTTGTGTTGGAATCTTTGTAAAACTTTTTTTTCAGCATAGATGCATTGGCAATTAATCTTTATGGAAATGTAAAAATTTGCAACTTAAATATTTTTTTTCAAGTAAAATTTAGTCATGAAAATATTGTTGGTTATTACAAAAAGAGTAACATTTTCTCAGATTTTTTAGAATAAAAAACCTATTCATTATAAAAGTAAATAAATAATGAATATGTACTGAAATTTTCATTCAAATTGGATAATTCCATGATTAAGTTAAAAAAATACTGCCCCATTTTCCTTCAAGTGTTTCTGGCCCCCAGGTTGGGAATAATTTAAATCAACATGTAGTAGAGAGTGGGGACCCTAGCGTTGGGCCCTGATCCTTTAACTGATTTAACCTGGCAAATTATGTAAACATGTAGAGAAATTTTGATTACTTGCATGAGGGAAATGAAGATTTTACTTGAAATAAAGATTTCAACAACAATAATAAAAAAATATAAAACCAAATTCCATGAGTTATTTGGACTAGCAGCTTCATTTTTTATTGTTTTTTTTATCACATTTTGGTAAATGTCTTTTTTGATTTTCCTTAGGATTTTTTTTAACATGAATTCAACCTAAGCAAGGTAGTAAAGCCACTAAGACACAAGACGTTACTGGGTGTGGAAGAATTACAAAAACAGAAACATTACTAAGGAGCAGAAACAAAGGAAGAGTAATCAGCAGGACAGTGTAATGATATTGCCTACTCCTTCGTTCCGGGTTCCCGGAACGTCAATCTGTTTTTTATATATACAAACACGCATGCACTTTGATCAATAAAACATACGCCATGACAGTCCCTTATTCATAACTACACACGTGTTCGAATTATTATTTTTATCAATACACATCCATGCACTACACGGCATGACATGGTGGCAGCGAGACTGGATAAATACACTAAACAACCCTACGAAATCACAGCACCAAAATAAAACAGTGAGTACAAACTGCAGTACATTATTTTCTTTAATCGTCCATGCTACACAAATTCTCGCTCGCTCACGCCACACCGGGCTCACAACATAACCGCTACTAACAGGCAGATATCATGGCTACAGTGTCAATACAAGTGCCTAGTCTTGACTGGGGGTCGCCAAACATTGCCGAATCGTTCAAACTATTTCGACAACGCATGGAGCTTTACTTCACCGTCAAGGCAACAAAACACGAAGATAAGGTGCTGCTAATTCTCCTCGCAGCCGGCGAAGAAGGCCTATGCCGATACAACAGTTGGTCGATGACAGACGACGACCGCAAGGACCCACAAAAAATATTCTCTGCCTTCATGGAGCAGCTCGAACCGGGAACCAACCACCACGTCTGTAGACTCGAACTCAGCAAATACCAACAAAAGCCAACTGAAACAACGGATATCTTCGTTAACAGATGCCGACTGCTAGCAAAGAAATGCGACTTCACTGCCGACGAAGTAAACGAACGCCTCGTTGAGTTACTAATTGCCAGCACGCCCATACCCGAACTACAAAAGGAACTATTGAACAAACCAAAGGGTTACAAAATCGAAGAGGCTGTTAAATTAGCCCGTTCTCATGAAGCATCAGCAATATATGTCAACCAACTCCAACAGCTACAGGGACCACCACAGATAGCCACAATAAACCGTGGTACACACCAACAGCAAGGGAGTGACAGAAAATACGGACAGGTTTGCAAAAATTGTGGGACGCAACCACCGTTTTGGCAAAGAACACTGCCGTGCCAGAACGACACATGCAACACGTGGCAAAAGTAGGCCACTGGGCTACAGTCTGCATCTCAGGGAAACATAAGACCAAGAGACGACAAGGAAAACCTGGTCTAATGGTCGTAACAAGTCGAGACACCCACAACAGGAGTTTGGCAGGAAAGTTCGACAGCGCCGCCAAACAAAACGACCAAGTCATGACTGACATAGACACAGCGATGGAAAACCTCACCTTTAGCTCCATCGAAACCAACAGTGGGAAATCATCAAATATGAAAGGCCCTCGAAATGAGGCATTTGTTGATTTAAGCATCAAGTTGGTGGACCACCCAGGCACTCATACTTTCAACCTGAAGGTAGATACAGGGCACAAGCAAACACACTGCCTATCCGCATATTCCGCAAGATGTACCCCACCAGTATAGACAAAGCTGGAAATCCAATACCGGATCACTCACCTCAACACAATGCCTACTAACAGCCTACAACAACACAAAGATAAACTGTTATGGCACCACAAATATTAGGTGCAAATACAAGAACTCTCCATGGATGGATACCCAATTCTACGTGGTTGATGTTCCAGGAGCAGCCATATTGGGCCTGCCAACATCAGTATCACTTAAAGTAGTGACAATGAACTGTGCTATATCAGTCCAGCAACAACCCATCAACAGTGTAGCTGACCTAATGCGCCTCTACCCTGACAGATTCGACTGTATTGGTGAACTTTCGGAGGACTCACAAGCTTGCTGTTAACCCCAATGTGCCATACCACATAGACCCACCGAGAAGGACACCTATAGCCAGGCGTGAAAAAATCAAAGCTGAGCTTGACAAGATGGAATCACAAGGAGTCATTCACCGTATTGTAGAACCTACAAACTGGGTAAGCTCTCTTACATATGTCACCAAACGTGACAACACAATAAGAGTTTGCCTAGACCCACGAGCATTAAACAAAGCTCTCATACGGCCATACCACCAAATTCCGACTGTCAAAGAGCTCAACCATCGATTTGCAGGAGCAAAATTCTTCTCAAAACTGGATGCTAAGTCTGGATACTGGTCCATAAAGCTCGATCGTGAAAGCCAGCCACTAACAACTTTCCAAACGCCATTTGGGAGGTACTGTTTTGAACGACTTCCATTTGGTCTGAGTGTCAGTCAGGATATTTACCAACTTGAGATGGACAGGATACTCGAGAAGTGCACTGGAGCCTGTGGTATAGCTGACGATATCACCATATATGGGTCAACAGAACATGAACACGACAAAAACTTAAAGTGCTTTATGGAGGTCGCTACTCAAGAGGGCCTTACCCTCAACTCAGAGAAATGCAAGATTAAACGCCGGGAAATCTCCTTCTTTGGAAACCTGTATACACATACCGGATTGAAACCTGACCCAACAAAAGTACGTGACCTACAGGAGATGTCAGAACCACGTAACAAAACAGAATTACAACAGTTTTTAGGTGTGATGACATACCTATCTCACTTCATCAAGGACTTCAGCTCCAAAACTACTGTGTTGCGTGACCTGTTACACAAGGACTCTGATTTTCAATGGGAACCACATCACCAGAAAGTTTTCAAAGATCTAAAGAGCGAAGTATCTGAAACGTCTCTACTCCACTATTTTGACCCCAAACTCCCAATTTACATGCACTGTGATGCGAGTATACGGGAAATAGGTGCAGCTCTGCTACAACCAGATGCAGATGGCAATCTATCGCCTGTTACATATGCTAGCAAGAGCTTAACACAAACGGAACAAAGATACGCATGTATCGAGCGTGAGCTACTGGCCATCGTATTTGGCACACAGATTCCACACATACCTTTATGGCCACAATTTCCATGTCATCACCGACCATAAACCCCTTACAATGATTATCGACAAACCGCTCACCTCAGCCCTGGCACGCCTGCAACGGATGCTTATACAACTCCAGGGATACAACTTCAGGCTCACCTACAACAAGGGATCTGACAACATCTTGGCTGACGGACTATCACGCCTACCATCACCCGGTAATTCAGACCCTATCGAGCTTGATGTCCGGGTTGATACTGTCCGTTTCTCTAGTGATCGCATTGAACAACTGAGACCATCATCACTGGATGGCCAGAGACAATCAAGCAGCTGCCCACTGACATCAGAGTGTTCTGGGGTCTAAGAGACCAGCACTCAATTGATGATGGTCTTATCCTCAAAGGACAACAAATCGTCATTCCCCAGACACTTCAAGAAGACATCCTAAAGCAGCTTCATACTGCTCACTTAGGACAGGAGAAAACAAAACTCCTCGCCAAGGACACTGTCTACTGGGTAAACATAAACAGAGACATCGAGCAGTTCACAAAGTCATGCAGCATCTGCCAACAGCATCAGCCATCCCAAATGCAAGAGCCCCTTGCAACATGACATCCCAACAAAGCCATGGGACATAGTTGGCACAGACCTGTTTGATCTCCATAGAAGTCAATGGCTGATCATAGCCGACTATTACTCCAAGTACCCTGTAGTCAAACACCTACCTGCTCACTCACCAAGCAGTGTTATAGTAAACACCACACGCCAAGTCTTTGCAGAGTTTGGCATACCATCAAAGGTAGTCAGTGACAATGGACCACACTTCTCAAGTCACCTCTACCGTGAATTCACCAAAGAATGGGGTTTCCACCATGAGACCACTTCACCTCGGAGACCACAGGGAAATGGTTTCATAGAACGGCAGATAAGAACTGTCAAGAACATCCTCAAAAAAGCCAAGCAGTCGGGAACAATGCCTGAAATTGTGCTGCTGCACTGGCGCTGTACTCCAATTTCAAGCGTCATACCAAGTCCTGCACAACTACTCATGGGTAGATGAATCCAATCTCCACTGATTACCAAAATCAGAAACGATCACCGAGATCAGGATCAAATATATAGTGCAATTCAACAACGTCAAGAAAACCAAAAGAGGTACTTTGACCGACATACACTCAAGGAGGAACTACCACCCCTGTACCGTGGCCAAAGGGTAAGGGTACAAAACCTTATGTCTGGAAGCTGGGACCCAGCGACTGTAGTATCCCAGGCAGATGGTCACCGCTCCTATCTCCTGGAGAATGTCAATGGGTATGTGCTGCGAAGAAACCGCAGCAACACATAAGAAGCATCCCAGTGGCGCCTGACTCACAACTGTCGCAAGGCGTCTGAAAACAGCCTCACAGAAATGTGTGACTTTTGTGGATCCACCTGTGTGTGCGATCCCAACCATGCCAAATAACCCTCAAAAGCGTACCCGTAGTGGTAGGATGGTGCGACCACCATCAAAGATGAACTTATGATGAACACATTCTCATAACCCCACAGCAAGCACTTAATGGGGCAGAATAATCCCCTGCTATGCTGTAGCTGTCCAGGTAGTCTACCCTGAACGAGCTCATCCAAACAATTACCATGAAAGTATTTATAGAAAAAGTACAGGGAAGCAACTTTATGGTGGTGGGAAAGTGACTGAAGCCAAGATGCCAGATCAGGACCAATAATATTGCTGATTCTTCTTTGGATTTTTTCTATGATCTCTAGATATATAATAGAAGCAATGTTTAGAACATTTCTGGTACATATCGTATATGTGGCAGCAATATTCTAAGCATGGGCAAATGTTACACACAGATATGCAAAATAAGATTCTAAAGAGAAAATTTACCTAGCACGACACAATATAGTCTCTCCTCTTCATGTCAGCCAAGAACGTTAACCTGAGAAAGGGCAATGTGTCACTCTGCTAGAAGTTAGCATTCTCAGGTGATTAATAGAGTGCAGTTTAGTTCTGAAGGTGTTAAAATTAATAAGCTATCATTTGTCCCAATTAACAACAGATTGAATGTCATTTTTGACATCAGCTGCAAATTTGACCTTATCAAACTGATCAGACTTATTAAGACAAAAGTAAATGGTTGTGTCATCAGGATAGATACCAAGTTGAGAGCTGATGTCATTGGGAAGGTTAACAACCTTCCCAATGACATCAGCTCAAAATTTAAATCAAAGTAGGACCAAGAATAAAGCTCTGGGGGACACCTGCATTAATACAAAAGGATCTAGAAAATTGCTGTTCAGATAACTTTCATTTCATGATTTGATAAGACTGGATCAGTTTAAAAATTTGGTCGGAGACATCGTAACTTTTCAATTTGTGAAGAAGACCTGTATGCCAAACCCTGTCAAAAGCTTTTGAGATGTCCAAAGCAACAACTATTCTTATCTCGAGCTTGATAGATTCTTTTCACAATTATTGTCAATATATCAGCAGTTGATCTAGAGAAATGAAAACCATATTGCTTGTCTGAAAGAAAGTCCTGCAATATGAGATGCTCAACCAATTCAGCCTCTAATAGTTTCCTAAAAAGAGGTAGAAGGCTAATAGGCTGATAGTTTGAAGAGTTGGACAGTTCAGAGTTCTAAAAAAGTGGAACAGATGAGGATTTCCAACAGGCAGGAAAGCAAGATGCAGTGGGCCATTTATTATACAGTTTAGAGAGAACAGAAGCCAGTTTGGGAAAACATTTCTTAATTTACTTTATTACAGAGATAGCATCAGGTTTATGTTGTATTCAATAAATTGTGTAATAAAAACCACAAAGATGAAATACCAGTCAGAATAATTACTGGAATAATAAAAACAATTTCAGAACTTCAGATAATATAATTTTTTTATGTAGTAGTTGAGGAGAATCATTAGCATTAAGGAATGCATTAATTTATAGGACAACTTTAGATGACAATGAGGAATGTAAAAAAAGCCTTTTTTATACTTCTGCAAATACTCAAAACATTAAAATATCCTTGTTCAGTGACTATCAAAGTAATAATATTAGATTTTTTAGATAAAAAAGTTATGGCAACAAAATTGATAAAGATAAGGCCATTAGTTTTTCAAATGTATGTAAAAGTCATAAAAACGAAAATTCTAACTTATTGAAATCAAAATAATTCTGAAAATTTATAATTTGACAATAATGCTAATATATATGGAATATATTATTTTACTACTGAAAAAAGCTAAATCAACAATAATAATGAATACCTTACTTTAATATCAGTCACAATGGTACACGTGAATAATGTGAAATGTTGAAATTCTTTTAAAGAATTTAGTGAAGTTAGTAAACACAGCTTATTAAGTTTAATAATAATATTTTCATAACTACTTTACCAAAATTTGTAATTATTGAAGTAAAATTTAATTTTTCAATTCAAATTCTTCAATAAAATTTCAGCTTAGTACTGCATAAGCAGAAATGGAATAGGATGATTGTGTTGGGCCAATCTTCTAAATGATGAAAGTTATTTTACCTTGAAAATAAGCAAGTCATATTTTAACTGGCTTAAACAAGCTCTGATACTGGAGAAAAATACATAATTGTCTTAGCCATGAAGTAAATTCTAGAAATTTACTGAGTTTAAGTTGGTAAACTCAGGGCTATAACTGAGTAAGGGCAGGGATGGAGTACCCAATGGAGATTAATTTCACTCCATTAGTAATGACCAAGACTAGTTTAGCTATCTCTGTACACAAGGAACCATAGCATGATAATATTACTTTAAAACAACTCAGATTATTATAAATCTTATTTGTTGAGTTTCAGGTTTAAGTGAATAATTTATCTGAGTTTATATATCTTATCAAATAATTTAATCAGCTTTTCCAGTGAAATCGCAAATAGTACTTAAATTTTGCTGAAAACCAAATTATATCCATTGACTTACTTCAGAGTAATTGTTAACAAATTAGTTTTGGTAGACTACTAAGAGTGATCAATCCCCATATTTATGGCCTTGTAGCATATTAAATACTAATAAGTTTGTTTTTGAAGACACTGCAAAGAATAGAAGTTAGTATGCATATTAAAACCTCATTTACTTTTTCTGATCTAAATGTTACCATTTACCCATTACTTAATTTTCTTTCTTGACTTGACCTTATATGCATAAAATTTTGACAATAACTCAGAAGTAATTTTATATTTCCAAATGTATTTATTTTAAGAGTATGAATAATACTGAAAAGATTGAATCTATTTTCTTCACTTGTTATTCCATTTCACATTCATTCTCCTTTGATTAACAGCAGACCAACAAGAATGAAAGTGCATGTACTCATAACTAATATTTTAGAGATTAACTGAAAATAAATATTTAAATTTAGTTAACTAATTCAACCTTTTGAAAAAATATTGCAGATTATTGCAATATTGGTTATGCAGAAGATAAAATTTCTTTGTGACGAACCTCAGGGTCTGAAGTCTGTTTATCGATGTCACTAGCAGATGAGTTGTTCATGTTGCATTTATCTCTTTCTGCTTTTTGTTGTGGATCATTCTTATCTAGTTTTTCCATATTTACGTCCTCATTGTCAGATTCACTTATTCTTTTGAAATTATTATGCTGAGCTTCTCTCCACTTCAGATGACAAATATACCTGAATACCATTGATGAAAAGATTAGATTCAAATTTTAATTGAAAAAAATAACATTAATATAAAATATATTCCTATAAGATCTGCAATGCTTTAAGTGAAAGTAAAATACTTGTTCATGCATACTTGTTAAAGATTTATATGGAAAATCAGGTGAAAACATTTTCAATTCTAATTGTAGATAACTGAATAACTAAAAAACATGTTGCATATATAATAAAGTTATCTAACATGGCCACAATTAGATTATCATTTAAAAGAAAAAACCTAAGTGGTCATTAATTTGGACATTAGAAAGCAATTACAAGAAAAAAATATGAAAAATAGTACTTAAAAGCTGATACTAAAAATGAAAATTCAGTTGTAATTTTTACTGATAACATTAATTCTTAATAATAATAAAAAATACATAATCAAATATTCTTCACTATTTTCAAATGTGTATCAAAAGTACATGTTAAAGACAAAAAGAAAATTACCCAGAACATATGTTATGAAATTATTAACAAAAACAGGATAATTATTTAAAAAAAAAAAAGAAAAGGATATTGTATCTAACAAAAGATAATTTAGGATATTAAAATTAAAGTTCATCCTAGACAGTGATGAATAAAGCTATTTGGATATATAGACCAAAAATAAAATAAAAAAATGTGTATGTGCAAATGTGTGTGTATATATATATATATATATATATATATATATATATATATATATATATTTCTAAAGAATTAATGCATTCTTATTTTTAATCCAATATTTTTATAACTTCAAACATTATTTTTAGTAGATACCTGTATTTGAGAAGAACATTCTGTTTTTTTAAACAGTGTTTATTTTGTCTACCAGTCTGTATTCGAGAAAACTTAATAAAGAAAATGTGCCTTTGAAAGGGGGTGAAAGTTTGAATTTTCTTAAATGCCTATATGAAATAAACACTGTTTAAAAAACAGGGTGTTGTACTCAAATATGGGTATCCACTAAGAATAACATTTGAAGTTATATATATATATATATATATATATATATATATATATATATATATATATATATACACACACACAAACACATTACATTTTCATCTTTTAAAAGTCATTGTTAACAAAAATTTAAACAAAGGCAAATTTGTTATTCAATCTTACCTCTATCTTTCAATGGAGAAATGAAATATGGTTGTGCTTTTAGATAAGAATTTAAAAATTGGTCAATATCAAATGAAAATATTTATAGCTCATATATCAAAATATATAAATAAAAATACTTTAAATTTCTTTTTCTCATTGATATAATTTTAAAATGTGAATTACTTGTTGGAATTCATAACTTTCAGAGGTAATATTTTGTCATCCTTTGGTACATCAATAAATTTCTGTGATCTTTCATATTCTGGCAAACTTCTTGATAATGTTCCTTTTCCAAAGCAACCCTGCAATTAATAAACTTAACTTTGATTATTATTAAAACATAAATAAATAAAATATGCAGCAAAAAACAAAACAAAAAACCCTTACTGAACAGAATGGATTTACAAATGAGATTAACTATGGCAACAAATTTCTTTCCATAATTATACTTCAGCACTATAAAGCTGATTTACAATTGTAAATTTCTAGGATGAGAAGTTATCAGTATTTACATGCAGACTATTGTCCTCATCTTTGTTGTTATGACAAAATTTCAGATGTTGTACCTCCCAGTGATTGTCAATCTAGGTAACCTACAAGGGATTATGAATTTAACCCTTTAATTAATCTATAGAGATAGATTGTTCTCATTCCACTGTTCATGTCTATTTTTACAAAGTTCTTTTAATGAAATGTCAATTTCCCAGTATTTATTAAGCAAGATGCAAAAGCTACTGAGAACAGTTCTTTGCTAAGCAAAGTAAAATGTTCTGAGAGGATGGAACTACGAAGTTGCTTGAAATTTGCATATGGTAGAAAAACAGAGTAAATGTTATTCAATATAATTAATCTTTTTTTAAAAATCTTTTTGGATACTCAACATTAATAAATTTTTTTTGATTAAATAAAATATTACAAAAATGCCATCTAATTAATGCTTGCACCTGTAGCTTTTTGGTTGTTATAAAGATCTTTTGTACTGCAGTAGGCATTATCATGTTGCATTACAAAAGCTCACAACTGAATGTTGGCTCATTGTAGCAAAAAAAAAAAAAAATCTTTAAACTTATTGTAGCAATTAATGCCTGCAATTGGTTTCTTCTGCCTATCTCGTCTGCAACACTTGTAGCCGATTCACCACAACAGTCAAATGTCCTTTTTCCTCACTTACTTGTTGCCTCATTCTTTCCATTTTTATCTATCATTGACAGTCAAAATTTGCATATGCGCAAAGATAATCTTGTGAAAGAGCATCTTACTCTGAGATTTAACTATTTTAAATATGTGACCTGTGAAGCCACCATTTCTTTCTCTGTTGAACAGTTTACACGGCGAGGCATGTTTGAATTTTTGCCTGCACTGGATGCAAGTTATTGATTCTAGCATTGCAAAAATACATGCAACCCCGGGCCCCTTTGCCCTCTGCAGTAGTTCACTACAATCATGTAACAAAATGTTAATGTAGGATAGAAAAACAATAATTTCAATTGTAGGAATATTCATAAAGATTGGTATTCAGAAATGAACAGTTCATTTTGTACATATTTATGAAAAGAAAGTTTTAACAAAGTTTAATGTAATGTTGATTAGTCGACCAACTTAGAATTTGATATCTAATTTTGGCTCAGCAGAATTTTGTTCCAGTACTTGTAGTTTATTTGCTGAAGTTTATGTGGCAAGGTTTTGTTTGGGATAAAAATTCAGTTTTACTCAGTAAATGCAAGTTTTATTTAATAATTGCATGGGGTTACATTTTGTGATGCTGTATTCATAAACCTTTTTCATTGTATAATATTAAAAATGCAAGTGTAAATTTTTGTTAATTCTTACTTGAGCATAATTTAATGTAAGGTCTTGTTTTAGCTAAATTTGTATGCATGGTAGTTGTTAACATTAAACAATCTGGTAAATAATGTTTTATTTAGTCACTAAAATATGTGACACTGAGAAATGGAAATAAAGGGTTAAAATTATAATATAACTTGGAACAAGATGAAAAGGGTTAAAGAATGGAACAATTGATAAACTAAGAAAAGAAACAAATTGCTTTTATTTTTGAAAGTCTATTTTTTAAGCAGAATTGCAGAAAGTGATTTTGTTGTTTTGGGGAAAGATATTACCAAAGAGGCTATCTGGAAAAGCTGGACTGACAATTTGTTTGATGGCGCTGCCTTAAAGTGGAAGTTATGAAAACATCTCCTAAGGATAAGCCAGAAAATAAAAGTTGATTAAGATAATATTTGGTAATTTTTAAACACAAGGCAGAATTGTGAAACTGATTTATTCCACCTATTAAAAAGTGGAAATTGTAAACAAGTTGAGAAATAGAATTTCTTTATACAAAGACCCAGCCCAGTGTTCATAAGCATGACTAAGTGTATGAAATATGGAAACGAAATACTTATTAATAGCTGTCGGAGGAAACAGCTGATAAATTTCTGTTTATAGAGACAAAACCCCAAAGTGGGAAAAATGTGCTGACAAAAATTAAAGTGATAATTACAATTAATGACCAGAAGCTAAGCCATGTCATGTAGTTTAAAAATTGGATTTGTCATAATGAGAACAGAGGTGAAAGGTTTACAAGAAATACTAAGAGAGATGGAGGAATTGCTTATGCCCATTGAGGAGCAATGGTGCGAGGCATAAATATTGGATACATGGGCAAGTCAGTACCTGCGACTACTACCCATAGGAAAAGAGATCTCCCAAATTTGGAGAGATAATTAATTTTCTAAAGCCAGACAACAAAGAATGCTTGTTGGAAGACAGGGGAAACCCCAATTGATCAAACACATCAGCCCCCATGGGAAGTGACAAAATCAGTTGTAGCCAGTTGGAGAAGTAGACGATGAGAGATATCCATGCTGCCGAAGCTCATGTGACTTGCGGCCAAAGAGAAATGCCAACATCAGCCTTGTTCCAGACTTAGACAGACATGAGCAAAGTGCCATGATAGAATTCAAAGTGGGAAGGGTTAATATTTATGTACAAAGAACGATATAAACCACATAGAAAACTGACCCAAACAATTTCCTGTCTTTTATTTTGTCTGCAAAGAACATTGTTTATTTTTTTCCCTTTTGACATAGCTTAGCCAACACTATGACTGATGATGACAACTCAGTCTTTGCCAGCTCCGAGATCAAAAAGCACAACGTGGCAGAGCAGAGTACAGACTGGGACAACTAGCATAGGAACTGACCGGTGAGAAGTGTCATAAATATTCTATTTTAAAATGTTTACATTTTCAAGAGAGTATCATTTATTTTATTTTTTTTTAACAATGTCATCTCTAAAAATAGTTTATCTTTAAAAATCACTTTTATATATGTATATATCACTATGAAGACTGGCAATTAAATGCAAAATATGTGTATATGTAAAAAATAGGTACCCCAAATAAAATAGAAATCGCTAAAAAAGAGCATAACTTGATGAAAAAAGACGCCAACCTTGCGGAAACAAAATTTTATTGTCTAAATTTTTATGTTATTATTAAATCACAAAAAAACGGCTTAAATAGATTTAAAAACCGTTGCGATTGGCTGTTGGTCAATCTCCAATCAAATGTGTGATAACGGGTATATTTATAGAAGTCAGTGTCTACAAGCATTTTTTACAGGGCGTTTCAGAGTCTGATCAGCTCTGAGGGGGTCGATTTAGTGAGGTCAGTATGATGTTTGAAAGACCCGAAATAGCCCAATGATCCATCTCCAGAACATCACTGAAAACAACCCTTTATCGTCTAAAAGAGCATATATTCAAAGAGGAAAGACCAAAGTTTTTTTATTATTTTTAAAATTTTTTCCTTCTTTTTAGAACATTCTAAATTTTGATTAAAGAAAATCTTGTTTTTCTTTGTATCACCGGAAATAGTAAAATAACATATACAATTTTTAGCATGATTTTTTTGTGTGACACACATTAATTTGTAAAAATCTTGCAAAAATAAAAATAATTGTTGGATGTTAATGAAACTTTCAGAAACTGTTTAAAGATGATGGAAATTATTATAAATGTTTTTTTCTATTAAAGTCATGGCAGAAATATTTTTTTTTTATATTTATTACCCTCCCCCATAATTAATTTTATGAAAACGCTAGAAATTTGATCGCATCAGGTTTAGTGATTACAATAGTTAAAAGCACAAGGCTTTGAGGAATGTAAATCGTGTTTTTTTTTGTTTTTAATTGGACATCCCTACCTGGAAATCAGCTCTGAATTGTAACATACAAAACTCAATAAAACAAAGATATTATTTAATTTCAAATGCTTTTATTTGCTTTTAGCTGTTTTTATGAATATGGACAATATTTTCTGAAAGCAAAAAATTTTTTCGATGAAAAATGAATTTTTAATACAATTATTTGCTATTTCTTTAATTATAATAAATTTTTACATTTAAGTTGTTAAAATATTATAAGATTAGTTAAAAGCCGCATTGGGTTTCCTAAGTGTCCTTATGAGATATATCTTTTTTTAGCGCGTTGTAAATTGTATCATTTTGACTAATCAGAAGATCTGCAGTAATTAAATTAATTAAATGTAATTTTGTGCTTATAACCGGGCTGTAATTATAAAGTATGGAAGACCAACCAGAATATAATTAAGTTGCGTTATTTGAGTTAAGCATTGTTCTCTGCTGTTATTTAATTTTTTACTTTTTTGAGAAACACATTGTGGAGAAGTTAATTTGATTTTTCAATTTCAACTGAGAAGGGTACCTACAAGTATCAGTATCATCTTATGAAATTTGTATGATCTTATTTTTATATTAATCGCAGTTATGACATTTTTCCATAAATGAAATATCAAAATTAATAATAAAATGAATGGAAATACAAATAATACAGTAAAATGTAATAAATGTACAAAAAATTATAGTATTTTATGTAAACTTCTGATAAAATTTCATAAGAAAGGTACCTATAAATTAATTTCTGATTTTCTTAAAATAAGTTTTGAAAAAATTATATTTGATTTTTCAAAGAATTTCAAACTGAGAAATTTCATTCTTTTTCCATAAATGAAATATTAGAATTAATAATAAAAATGAATGCAAATACAAATAACAGTAAAATGTAATAAATGTACATAAAATTATAGTATTTTATGTACAGTTCTGATAAAATTTCACAAGAAAGGTGCCTATAAATTAATTAGATACCTTTCTTAGGAAATATGGAATTTAACGTCACTCTTAACAGTCTTATTTTAATTTCTTTAGAATATATTTTCCATAAAGCATCATAAACGTAAAGGTGAAAGCTAAGTACAAAACAAAAAAAATTAGACTGCT